AACATAAAGCTGAGAATTACATTTCACCCGTCCATGATGTTAATCTACATCCAGCCCTATTAGGAGGTCCTCCAACTTATTGGGGGCTGGTGGCAGGACTGGCTCTCCATCCACTGGACTAGTGTGATACTGAGGTGTCGCCTGCCACACAGCTGCACTCAGGTTCTCATCCCTGAGGTGGTTTGTTGTGTGGTGGGTGCAGCAACACACTGTAATCAGTGCTTGCTCCTTACCTATCGTCCATCTTCTAACCAGTTACCATGGTCAGGGTAGGGGGGGCTGGAGCCTGTCCAATGCAGCATAGAGTAGAAGGCTGGGGACACCCAGGGCAGGATGGCAGTCCATCATGGGGCACAGACACAATATGGGCAGTTTAGAGACAGCAACTGCACGTATGAGACTGCATGAGGAAACCCCTGTGACACGGGGAGCTGTGGAAGCCAAAAATCTCAGACGGCCACAAATAAACGGCAGATACCTTAGGGTAGGAGACTATAATAGATCTTTTTCAACAGGGGTTCCCCACATGCAACGGAGAAGAGCCCCCCCTTCATTAATCAATACCAGGTGTTATACCTTTTCTGCAGGTGATGACCCTACATGAATTCACCAGATGTTTCTCATTAGCTCAATCCTGTGTGCCTTGTTAGTTTGGCCTTTAATCTTGCTAACTTTTCAAGATTCCTGGTACAGGGACCTTCAGTTCTGTCTTTAAAAATCCTAAAATTTCCTGCGAAGGCGTCACCTGCAGCAAGCGTACCAGCTTTACATTGACATTGCATGGTGTTTATATGTGTCCACACCAATTAGTGATAGGTGTAACGTGGACAAATTTGTTGGTACCATTACAGTTCATTGAAACAATGTGGGCGTCTAGCTAGTGACTTCTTGTGGCTGGGGGGCTGTGGCTGCTGTCTTGTGATGCCTGGGTGTCTGCCCTAGCTGGTGGTGGTGGTGGGGGGGGGCTTGGGCGGGTGCTGCCTGGCGGTCATGGGGCGTGGGGTGCTTGAGGTGGCAGGGGCTGGTCCTGGTCCTCTTCGGTGTGAGCTTGGGTGAGGGGTCGGGGGCTCTGGCGCCCGGGGGCCTGGCCATTTCCTCGCTAGGTGCCTCCCTGCGTGGGGGTGGCCTGTGCTTCCGCCGGGACGCCACCGGGGGGGTGGGTCGGTCCATGTCTGGGTGTCCGGCCTGCGCTTATTGGGGGTGGCATGTTTCGGGCCCAATATTAACCTACTTCAAAGATATTTTGCACGTTTAATAACGAGGTCCAGTGACAACTTTTCCGCACTATTGGAAATTTTGATTTTTTCACCCCACCCTAATAAACACCATGCAGTGTTAATTTTACACTAGCACATTTGTTGTGTATCTTTGTTCAAATAGTATTTCATGTTCAATAAATGTGATAATGGGAAGAAATGTTTCAATGGGATGAATGCTGATTATGATAGATTGGAAAAACTATGTCATTTTACATAAGCACTGACTATACTATAATTGCTGTTGGTATTACTATACCTTTAGTACACTTACACATTGTTTTACCTTTAAGTATAGTGAAAAAACAGTTGAATTGAATATGATATGTATATGAAAGTAAAAGTAAAACAAAAGCCTAAATGAATATGATATATATGAGGATAATAAAAAAATATTAATCCCATATTCAGTCTCCCCTTCTCAGCCAGGAGAACTATTGAGCTATTCAAGGTCAGGTCATCTGCCAACACACCAGCTCAATTTCCCTTATCTTATAAATTGAAACTGTTTGAGTGGCTCACCACACAGCACAAACGAGACTGACTGTAATCCCAGCATGTTCTCATTCCCATTCCTATTGATGTTATAGGCGTATCAAGCTTCTTTAAATTTTGCTTCCCCAGAGAACATATAAAGCTCCATACAAAATCTTGTTTCCATTGTACAGTATGTGATTTACTTATATTCTCATATATCTGCACAGTCACATTGTAACAGTCTCTGTTTCTTCTTGTGACAGACAGAAGTCCTACTACGGCAGGTACAGTGTTTTTGCTTTTATTACCACATATATGTTTTATTGTTAATAATATATCCTCCTGAGACCCCACCCATTCATTTATGTCCATTGTAGTGGACATTTTATTTTTGCATCTATCTTTTCACTGATGTTAGGAAACGTTTTTGTTCCTGTTGTACAGTAAAGAGGACATGCTGTGAAATTAAAAATAAAAATATCCATCCATCCATCCATCCATCCAT